CTTACGTCGTATGTTTCAGAAGAGATGGGTTCAATACTTCAAGATAAATACTAACATGGTAATAAAACATTGATAACTTATTGAAAAAAAGGCAATACTCTTGTGTCCCACCAGGAATGAAGAAGTAAGTAAATAAAGTGTTACTTTTTGTTCGTCCGCAGGTCTGTGACCTTCACCCTCTCCAGGAACCAGGAGGCATGGCGACCCTCCCCGGAGTTGTCGTGCCACACCGTCAGGCTGGTCAGACCGCCCAGCTTCTGCGGGGTCGTCAGGAGGAACGTGTTCACGCCTCCGGTTTGGAAGGTCTGCAAAAAAGGAATGTGATGTAATGAATATTACACGTCATTCATCGAAAGGCTTGGTTTCGGGCTGCTCCGCCGCGTGCGCATGCCTGCGAAGGTGGTGTGTTACACCGAAGGGCGGTTGTACCGGTTATGCAGAATACAAAAAAAGAAAGAAGATGCAGGGCCTGCAAAAAATGAATGTGACGTAATCAGTATCATGACGTATCATTCATTGAGTTAAGGAGACCCAATGAAAGGAAAATGGAGTATTGGCTTTATTACATGCTTGTAAACATGAATCTAAGGAAAAATTGTTTTGCGTTCGAAAGAGAGACAGAGCTAGGGGCGTTAGGAGAACGACAATAAGAAAGAAAGGAAGGGAAGAGGGAGGGGCAGAGAGAGGAGAAATGGAGAAAGTTAATAAAGATACCGTTACTCACCATGTCGTCCTGCTGAAACGACCTCGGGCCCGTGCTGCCCTTATCTCCTGTCAGGACGAAGACGACCTTGGACCTGGTCCCGGCTCCCCAGTCGTGCCCGGTGTCCACCCGCACCAGGAACCGGCTGCGATGGCGGCGGCGGTTGCCGTGCACGTTCTTGATACTCCACTGATACAACAAAAAAGAGGCATAGGTCTTAGATAAAGCACGCTAGGATGTCAAATACTACCCTGACGTCGTGAATGATGGAGACGATAAACCTGCTCAGTTCGTATGGCCTAATTTGGTAAGAAGCTCATAAAGAGCATGTGTGGTATGGCGTGTTAATAAGTTGGTAATGATATGTGTTTTACGACTCCAGGAAAAATAGTCAATATATGTATATATATATATAGTGGAGATCCTTCTAATAAACAAATAAACAAACGTTTATGTACGGAGGGCTGACGTCAAAGACAATGAATAAACTGATTGCAGCTATAGAATGCTCCTACTGAGGACAATAGATGTACACTGGGAGAGCGAAAGAATCCCAACAATCCCGACATCTCAACAGACAACACACCTTCTGCTCGTCTGCCTTGTCCTTCCTGCGAGCGGGATATATCATGACGAAGTACATCCCCATCACCACCACCATGGTGGTCCACACGGCGTAGTTGTTGACCAGGTCCTTGAACTTGGAGAAGACGGTCTTGAAGTCGATCCTGTTGGGTTCGGTCCCCCCGGAGGTGCCGAACCCCGTCAGGTGGTCACACAGGCAGACGGTGTGGGCCAGGGTGGAGGCCGGGCTCACCTGGAAAATTAATGCGCGAGTTAATACTTACAACGATGTCTTTAGTTTACAAGATATACATTCAGGCACCCAAAATTGTGAAAGACACTGGTCTCAGTACAAAGGTAGCAGAGTCTAGCGCCCTGGACCGTGTAACAGAGTGGCACTTGTCGGAAGGAAACAAGGGACCATATCCTAGCCTAGGTACGTAGGCAGGTGGGAAGGTGCTAGAACTTCGAAAAAGCCCAAAGTGGATAGAAGATGAAATTTTCCAGGAAAGGAACACTTTCTTTTCGGCGCTTATGCCAGTTTTTTTTTTACCCGACAGCCGTCTCTTTTCCATGAGCCCAGCTCTGCGTCTATCCCGGGATCCCAGAACACGCAGTCCAGCCGCGTGATGTCCACCGAGTAGGAACATCCCTCTGGTGGACAGCCTGGACAGATAAGGAAACGGAACACAACGGGCATAGCCGTGAAAAACCCAGGAAGGCACGGATAACTACATGTGCAGAAACATTCATACATCACTTTACGGTGCGTACACCATGATCGGGAGAATCATCAGTTTTTATCATCCTGTAGGACCATCTGTTCCGGGATAAAATATCAGTAATAGCTACATTTCGTATTACTATGAGATGTAAATTTCGGATAAACTCATCGGCATTTCCTGCACCGACACATTAAATGCAATATGTATTCAAACCCCGGCCCGTATTAGTGTCACGTATTTTATCATTAGTCACAGATGTCATTTTCACACGTACCGGAAACTAGCCTCCTTGTAGTTGCAACTTGCCTTCAAATATCAGAGTTATCAACCAAGAATTGAGGATTTGAAAAACTCGTATTTCCCCAGAACTATCGTAGACTGGAACTCGTTGCCACCAAGCACAGTTGGGGCATCATCACTAGAAAGCTTTAAACAACTCCTGCAATTAATGTGCAGAGATTGAGCGTAACAAGTCGTTACGTGATATAGCTAGCTGCCGCTGCGCCACGTGCCTGCGAAGCTGGTGTGTTACGCCGAAGTGCGGTTATACCGGCTATACCGATACAGAAGCTGGTGTGTTACGCCGAAGTGCGGTTATACCGGCTATACAGATACAGAAGCTGGTGTGTTACGCCGAAGGGCTGTTATACCGGCTACAGATACAGAAGCTGGTGTGTTACGCCGAAGGGTGGTTATACCGGCTATACAGATAACAGAAGCTGGTGTGTTATGCCGAAGGGCAGTTATACCAGCTATACCGATACAGATACAGACAGATACATGCTATCAATTTGAAACTTTAAACCACATTGGTGTGCCCAGTGGTTGGGACGACAGTGGGACTAACTACAGGGGCACCGGCGGGCGCCACATTGACGCTGTCCTTGTGCAGACCGGGGTAGGGTGGCGGCTGCTCGATGGCAACAACTTCGTGAGCCGGATCGCCGTGAACCGCCCGCTGCCATCTGCTCGTGTAAGTACTGCCGGGCGACCACCTGCAGCGGTAGTAGTGATTGGTTTATTTCTCATTCATGTACATTTTGTGATATAAATATAATAGAAAGCGAAGTCCACTTTATTGTAGAGTGTCCACTGTACAGTGATTTATGTAACACCTCAGTTTATGAAATACAGTTAGAACAAAAATATATAAAGTTACCTCTAAAAAAGGATGACATGTTCCTACATGTGATGTCTTTAGATAACTATGATGTAGTAGAAAAACTCGCATACAAATGTCTCAAGAAGAGAAAAGAAACATATACAGTTTAGGCATAGAAAGAAAGAAATAGCATAGTTTTCCTAATCCTTATTTGTAACTCAAGTAGTGCATTTAACCCCACTGGGGCATGACTATATATGCAATAAACTTCATGTTCGAGGTTCATTAAAAACATTTACAGTCTCGCAGTGCGCATTATGACCCGCACACAGAATCGTAATACTAATGATACTACATTATTCACAACTGATTACGGACATCTAAAAAGAATTGTATGGATTGAAGTTTATTTAACACGTTAATTACGTAAATAAAATAAAAATACATATTATCAATACAGACTTATTACTGAGTTATCATAACAATTAAAATACAATAGCTAAAACCATGCGTCAAGATAAGAATAGTATGATACATTCGAGATGATAATTAACAGACATAAAAATCGTGATGAGGGCCGACATCGTCTACAAGATACCTTTGACCCAGTGTTGACGTCACACTTCAAAGAAGCCACGTGACAAGCCTCACTGGGTCAGTCTACTGAGGAAAACTGACTGGTCAAAAGCTCTAGGTGAGAGAACTTTGTTGTGTTGGATTAAAAGTTTTAACTTTTAAAAGTGTGGGGTCGTGTGGCGTAGCGGCAGAGTGCGCGACTCGGAACTTTGAGTCCCGAGTTCGAGTCCTGACATGCCACCGATCTTGTGCCCTTGGGAAAGGCACTTTACACGGCTTTCCTCACTTAGCTCAGGTGTAAATGAGTATTGTCCTGTCATGTATTTGTCCCCTGTGTTGGTGGCGGCATTAATATAAGTTGAAAAAAGTTGAGTGTGTCGTCACCACGTCTGGTGATTACATGTTGGAATAAAAAAAAAAAAAAAGGTTTTAACTTTAAACAGACACATAAAAATCTTCAAGTCACCTGTCCAACCATGTTGAGGTACTCCTGCTTGCTCTCCTCGCTGGCTTTCGGCTTGTAGGCCGTGCCGAAAATGGCGACGCCCAAACACACGACGGACATGGCGACCAGCGCCCACGGCCACGCTTCATCAGGAAGGGAAAGTTTGTCCAAAATAAGTGTGTGTGACAACTATTATACATCATGGTCTACTATTGAGCAATATTAAACTACAGAACTTGGGTAGACAGGAATGTCAAAGCAAAACTAGAAAAAGTAACGAATATCTGCAATGCAAATGCATGATGTTTACCTTCACGTGTCATCAAGAGGCTAAAATAAACACTTCTGCTGTGAGAGATGTGCCTTTCTAATTTCTGTGCCTGAAGCTCAACCAAAGTAAAGTCCTCCGAATTTACTAGTTGTGTCATGTTTCTTTTGTCCCTGTTGGTTTTGTCATCTTCCTACTCCCCAAGCAGAGGTTTGGGTTTGGTGTTATTTTAGCATGTTTTTAGGCTTTTTTATCGGAGTTTCTCTTTTGCAAAGGATTTTTTTCATCAAACCCAAGTGAGTTTTTTTCCACCAAACCCAACTCGGGAAAAAAATTCAGTGCAAAAGAGAAACTGCGATTTAAAAAAAAGCATTAAAACACGCTAAAAATAACCCCAAACCCTTGCTTGGAAAGTATCATATTCCCTCCTCACGTCTGCTTGATTTTGTGGCCTCACCTCGGGCATCTCCCCGGCTGTCCACTTATCAGAGCGGAAACACTGTGACCTCACACCCGTCGAGTAGGATCGCTCCTTGTGACGTCATACAAGGAAGTGATTACAGAAAACCCAACCCGCTCGTGCTTAGGTGATTATCACAGAAAGGGGAAGTCCTGTACACAGACAGGACTGAGGAAATATTCTCGATTCAGTCAGAGTAGAGACAAGTTGTATTCTGCACCATGGAAGTGTTCCCTACAACCAGTATAGGACAGACGTTAATACGTGCCATGTCACTTCTCGGTGTACTGCTATGCCTGTATCCAGCGGTCTCAGGTACGTTACGTGAGCTCTTAAATTGTACTTGTCTCGGTAGGGCAGGATAACAGGAACACTTGAAAGATAGTTTCTTTCGACATACTTTGAGGTCTACATGTTTTCAAATGCCAATCCGTGTATAACATAGTAAGAACTTTAATGCGCGACAGTTGTACATGGTACAATATATATAACACCATGGTCCCCTCCCCAATACTAATGTAAGACACTGTCCCAATAAGCGTAATGTGTGTGTTAGGGGCTCTGATGTGTTTGTAGTGATGGGAACAGATACTGAAAAAAACGAACTTGATTTAGATGTTTTAAAGGAAATATCTCAATGATTTATGATGTAAATTTATCGGATTAATATTTGAGGCTCGACAATTTTCTCCAGAAACGTGTATTGTCACGGAAATGCTGGTTCCTTTCTCTTGCTGCTATCACGCATGTGGATAGGATCAATTTCAGTACTTGTATTTCCGCATCAATTGTAAGCCATTGTAAGCGATACAAATGTAACAAAGTTGTCTCACACTCTATCTTTGCCGAACCGTCCCCTATCAATCAAAATTGATAGATGTCTCATATCATATCACTGTACAGACGCTTGTTTCTAGTACTGTGCAGGGTAATGTTTATTATATGGAGGTTTCAGGAATGTTTTAAAGATATATTAAGTGAGGTGCTGTCTTTTATAGAACACTGTTATCTGTTCTAATAAGTTCTTCAAGGAGAGATACAGATTTTGAAACGATCCACTGTCATAGGAAATCGAAAATGGCCAAAAGTTAGCATAACAACAAAAACGTCAAAATTCCCAGTTTGAAAATTAAAAAGTAAGTCGAAAGTAAAATGTATGTAAACGTATGTAAAATGATATGACCAGTTACGGATTGCTATGATTTTGCCCCGAAGATCAAATAGAAGCCAGACTGTAGTAAGAATCGGCCTGTGTAGACCTTGGCTATAGTCTGGCTTCCAGGTTATACAGGGAAGTTGTGCTATGTGTACTTCTATTCTATCGCCTACAACAGGCGGAGAGAATGAGGAACTAGCCTTCATCAGGCCTTCCTACGGGGGCACAGAACCTGGTAAAAAAAGGGAAATACTTTGCCAGGAGAGTCAGTCCAAGGAAGGGTTAATTTTCCCCTTCTGAAGGGGGCAAATAAACTCTACGCTGGCTAAACTCCCTTAAGTCAATTATTCTCCCTATTGGCTAAATTTTACTTTTTTCGAACCCGCGTTGTTAGTCTGGTGGAGACTAATGAGGAACACTGTACATGAGTCAAGAGTCAAGAATAGACCTAGGCTCACAGGCTTTGATCTTCTGGTTTTCAAACTTACAAGGTGTACTTCTCAGTGTGGGTAAGACATCAACATTCAAGAAAATAAAGGATTCAAATAAATTATGACTTATCGCCAATATTTTTGAAGTAAAATACTGATAGCTGTTGTTTATAATGTGTACGGAAAAATGCCCACATCTGTGACATGCCTCAGTTGGATCACAGTTATTTTCCCGAAGCATGTTGTTATCACATAGAAACTCATTTGTATCACCCGGAGTAGAATCCTACAAAGGTAAGACATCCTGTGTTTCAAGTCATTATGTTCAAATTGTTATGAACTATGTACGATTACTTAATAGGTTCCAATCATATTTCCGTACTTTGCATTATACAATAGAAAAACCATACAATAGAAATACTTTGTGAATTTATCTCCAATTGCTTCAAAAAGAGAGAAGAAATCCTCAATGCCTAGATTAGTTTATTCTCTAGTAGTTGTTAAGACTTTTACGTCACTCTGTTATTCTGTTATCCTTGTATCCTATGTATCATGTTACTCAGTATGATGTACATGTAACATCACACTCTGATGTATGCATTTAGCCCCATGGGCATGATTCAATTCATTATTTTGTGTTTATTTATTTTGATGTAGTGCTTGTGCCGTGCATGTCATGTTTGTGTTTTTGTCTTCCTGTCAAAATTGAATTTAAAAAACGTGAAAAATCATTCTTGGCCCATAGCCACGGTCAATGGCGCATGTCAGCCCTCGTTTGCCAAAAATCCCAACACAGATTACATCTAACGATACTGTTTACTCCCAAACACGAACTGAGAGAGAGGAGGGCCTGCAAGCCCTTTTCCGTAAGGCGTAATCAGGCCGTTTTAGACTTCGTAATTCGTAGGCAGCCTCCGCAAAAATCAACGTAATTCGTAATTGGACATTAGCCGCAAATCGTAAAGTCGTAATCAGCTCTGAAACTTTAACGTAATTCGTAATAGGCGGCGAAAAATTTGCGTAATTCGTAATCACTACTCCCCCTTGCAGGCCCTCAGAGAGAGGTCGTAAGAAAACATAGAAAGTTGTCCATGCGTAACAACCCTATACACAGACAGACAAAAGGAAGAACTGCCTGGGGCATCATGTTGACCTTACAGACAAACGTACATGTAGTAGTACAGTAAGGTATTGTGTTGACTAAGACAGCCAGTCTAACGCTGCAACTAATAACTGAAATGCTATTCAGTATATGTCCCTCTGTTTACTTTGGGCCTCGTGGCACTATTGACTAATAGTGATGATATTTGAAACAAGTCAGCATTTCTCAAAGGTAAACTACTCAGGTTAGGGATATTTTTCGGGCTCTCAGTTCCGGATTCTTTGAACTTTTGCTTCGACACCTGTGAGTTGACTTGTCATGCGTAATTGTTAACGTCTGACATAACAAAAGGTTTGAATGAATTCATTCTCGCATGTGTAGATGAGTCTATATTTTTGTAGTGATGTGTTAAAATACTCTCCAAGCAGAGGTTTAGTTTATTTTTGGCGTGTTTTTAGGCTTTTTTAATCGGGGTTTCTTTTTTCCATTGGGTTGGGTGAAAAAACATTCCAATGCAAAAAAAAGAAACCCCAATAAAGAAGCCTAAAAACACGCCAAAACCCAAGCCTCTGCTTGGAGAGTAGTCTTAAAACACAAACCTGTACCAATGGCAATATGAAGAATAAGTTAGACGTGTAAAAAACGTCAAATATATTAATATATATCTATATATATACAAAAATTAATATATTTTTATATCTATCTATCTATCTATCTATCTATCTATATATATCTATATATCTATATCTATCTATCTATATCTCTCTCTCTCTCTCTCTATATATATATATATATATATATATATATATAGAGAGAGAGAGAGAGAGAGAGAGAGAGAGAGAGAGAGAGAGAG